TATATTTGTTAGCAACGTACAGTATACTAAACATGAAATGGTGCAATGTATATATCATACAACACATAACAAGAGAGACACTCGGTACCGATAAACTGGCAAATTCATTTAATTGGCATGCCGATGAAAATATTTTTAAACAGTGCATTTCTTTTACTACCAGTATACTCTACTTACTTATTTCACTAACTTGTTATATTATTGTTTAACACTCACACTGTTAATAAAGATAAATGATTGATAATGATATAGTCATCAGCTTACCACCCACCCCTGGCAGTGCATCAGCCAGTTAACATAGAAACAAGCAGGTCACCTCCCCCCACCCCTCATTACTATCTCACTCATCACCATCACCTCCCTCATCACAAAAGACTGCATTTTATTTATGAAGAGATGGATTCAACTCATCCAGAGCAGAACTGTGTGGAATCTTCTACCTCTCACAAAACGTCCTTCACCTATCCATCCAGTTTAATACTACTAGAGTATTGCAAGATACAAATGTGTTCATTTAGTTAAAACAATACAGTACTGTACTTAATACTTTACAGTACCAAGGTTCCCACCTTTTCATATTCTGACCAGATGGGGTCAAAATTATTTCACATTACAGTAGAAGTCCAAAAATACGGGACTGCTTGGGGATTGGGTCAGTCCGGATTTTCGGATTTTCCGGATTCTCAGGCAGTACTTTTAAAATTCAAATTTAAGGAGGAATAAAGAAGAGATGAACAGGTACATTTTGATAGTTTATTCATTAGCAAATATAGCATGCTTCATTTATCAAAATGAGCAGTTTTAAAGAAAAAGCTGTGAATTCTGGAATGTTATTCTTTGCCTTTTTTATATCATAAATTGTAGACTTTCCAATGTCGTATGTTTCCATTAGAACAGTATTGCTCACACCACGTTCTAGTTTCTTATTATTTCAAGTTTGTCACTCAATTTCAACGTGTTCTTCTTTCTCTTCACACAACGAAGTTTATCTACTTTAAGAGCCATTATTATGGGCTTGTACAGTACTCTGTAAATGGAAAGAGGACTCAAAATTACATATGTTGTCACAGTTTGAGTGCTCATTTTAAAGTGGCGACCACGTGGTCGCTTGTTGTCGCTGTGCAGCTGTGGCGCTCACGCATGCGCACATACACAAAAGCCCGCTAAAAAAAAAATAAAAAATAAAAAAAAAAATTGAGTTTTCGAAAAGTCCGGATTCTCGGGTGGTCCGGATTTCTGGCATCCGGATTTTTGGACTTTTACTGTATTTTTATGATCTTTCAGAATGGATTTTCTATTTTTCAGCATTTTATATTGAAAATAATAAACTGTACATATACTAGCTAACATTTGATAGGCAAAATTTTAATTGTATTTTTATCACAGATCTTGGCAATTTACAAACAAATATCAAGCTTGTCTCAGAGCATTTGTAAGTCACAGAGACAAGTGTTGTCAGATGCATCACAGGAGCTTCAGTATATACAGTATATATACTGTAAAAAAGAAAAAAATAATAAATAAAGCACATGTGGTACTATCCCAATTCCTTTATTTGTTATTTATGATATCCTCATCCCTTTTCAAACAAAATAAAAAAAGAATGCAGAAATCAACCGTAACACACCAAAAAATTAGAATTTACCTAGTATTTGTGCGGCTTATTTCAAAGTACAGGAAAAAGCTTTGATCCTGCACTTAGTCCTAAAGCACATTATAATATATCACAGGTGTTGACAGACCTCTGGTAAATCTAAGCCAGACTCTTTTCACCCGTGGCTGAAGACAACCATAATACATTAACTGACCACTTTGCCACTCATACCTTTTACCTCTCATCATTGATAAGCTTGATATAATTATGTGGATCTTTTATTTTAATTCTTTTGAGCCCATTATATTACAAGGTGATCAGAATGATGAGCAGATACACACTTTACCAATATTGCCCTTCATTCACTGTTACTGTACTGTTACGATATTTTATCTTTAACAATAAGACTTCACTGTCACTTCATACAATCTAGCACTATCCAATAGCAGTCCTTCATCTACATAAACTACTCGACAACAAGCTGTATGATTAAACATACATACTGCTGCTTCCTGGATGCTAATTATCCTTTTATCCAGTACCTCCCTCATTTCAACCTCCCATCTTCTTGGTCTTCTCTTTCTCCTAACATTAATTTCTATAGTAAACACTCTGTTTACCTATCTTTCATTTCTCCGTTTCATATGCAATAATAATTTTTACTTCCAAACCTCCCAATTTCTGTGTTCTGTATTCTTTGTAACCTATTCAGCCAATATACTACTGTACCTTCTTTACCTCACCTCCTCTTTGATTCATTTCATCATCCAGCCAGCCCAGCCACCACATTTAGTTACATGCAATGAGCTATAAAAGATGAAAAAAAGCATTACAATGTAGTACAGTGGTCCCTCGGTTAACGAACTCAATCCGTTCCAGCAGGTTGTTCGTTAACCGAAAAGTTCATTGACCGAAACCATTGTTTCAATGGGTTTTTGGGTAATTGGTTCCAGCTCACCGAAAATTGCCTAAATTCAACAAAAATGGAAGAAAAAATTCACTTACTTTGAGGTGTGTATGTAGAAGGCTCCTAGATGATGATGATGATGTGCATTTGAAGTGGGAGGTGGAGGAGAAGGGAGAAGAGAAGGCATTGGGGTGGAAGAGAAATCACCCCATGGCACCATTTTACCCATAAAATTTTAGTTCTCTTGGTGTATTTCAAGAATATTTTCTTTAAATCAACACTGCACTGCGCTATATATTGTCAATATGTAAAATAAATTTCAAAATGACCAATAATTTGCTTGGAAACAGAAAAAAAGCATTTAGTTGAAGAGAGTCTCAAGCAAGATGTTACCTCCAGTGAAAACAGAGGGAGACTAACGCCTGTTTGCTGTGTTAAGAGGCTGGATGCCTCCCATTAAACTAGTCACTTTACCTTCAATTATGTTCAATAATTGTTAAAATGACTAAAAAATTTAATATTAAACTTTTAAAATTATTGAATAGTATAAACTTCTTGATATTTACTAAAATAGTAAGGAATTTAAGCCCTAAAACCGATTAATGTATTGGCGGACTGATACTAAAGCTGGTTGCCCGGCCAGTGCAAGCGAAAACATGTCGAGGTCGGTTCGTAAGAAATTCGTTAACCGAATTGAAGATTCTTATGGAAGGCAGTTCGTTAACCGAAATTTCGTTAACCGAGGGATCACTGTACTGTACTGTACTCTATCGTGGTGTGACGTCACAGCATACACACAGCACAGTGCAGCAGCCAAACATCTGAGTCAGCTGGGTAACTGGCTGACTGCCTGGGTGAACTGTGTCATGTCACCCAGAAGATGGTTTTGAGTGCAGAATAAGCAATTTTTTTGTATACTGTAAAAAATTTGTGCTATGTGCTATTCAAACTTATGATCCTGGCTGATTTTGGAAGAATTTGTATTATTATTTAATCTTGGTGCTGGTTAATTGAATCTGCTGGTTACCCAAACTCTGGATAATTGAGGTTCTACTGTATACTGTATGATGTGTTCCTAAAGTCACTATGAATGCTTATTTGAGTACTGATCAACACATTAATACAGTAGTAAGTACTGTACTACCACTATTTTAACTAAATGAAAAAAAAAATATATCTTTTAACAGTGGTATTACCCCCTGGATGGAGCAAAGTATGTGAGAGGTAGAAGATACCACACAGTTCTGCTCTGTGTGAGGTGAATCCATCTCTTCATAAATAAAATGCTATCTTTTGTGATGAGGGAGGTGGTGGTGAGTGAGATAGTAATGAGAGGTGGGGGGAGGTGACCTGCTTGTTTCTATGTTAACTGGCTGATACATTGCCAGGGTTTGGAGGTAAGCTGATGACAACTTTTAATTTGTCATTTTGAATTGCTTGTTTTCTTTAACCTACAATAATTAATAATATCTCTACAACTAGATGTTAACTTACGATAAAAATAAATATAACAATTACAGCATGCAGCAAAAAAACTGAGGGGTATATGTGTACATCACAAAAGCTAGCTGGCACTAACCACACACAAATGAATGTATGCTTCAGACCACCCAACTGAGTCACCACTCCTGACAACCACCACACACACATCAGTCACAGAGCATTTTATATCATCCTATACAACTTAAACACAATGGATAATTATGAAAATTATAAAGTTAAAAGAATCAAATGTATTAATGGGTACTCACTAATACAAGCACCAAAATATGACTGCAACAGTAGATGATGATGTGGGATAGCTACTGCTGTGACTTTTATTTAATGAAATCTACTGTACTTGGAACTTATTTGTAAACCAATTTTCCAGTATGCAGAGGCATACTTTTGTTGTGAACCTGGAGATGGAGGGAGTCAGCAAGAGGAGCATTATTAAATCAGCAGTAGTCACTGAGATAATTTTTGTTCCATGACACTTCACCCAATACATCAGCCAGCTGACTTCACCTTCCATTCCTTCATATAACTGTTCATACTGTATTTTAACACTACAGATCTATGTGAATTAGCATATACAAATAAAAATTATGATATAATAAACTATAGCTTTTTATTTTCCATATACAACTTCAGAATAAATAAGATAAATTTAGACTATCTGTTTCCACTAGCCACCAGCCAAATGTAGCAAGAGACCTCAGTGGCAACACACTCCAGTACAGGTATAGACCCTTAAATCCAATCCAGAACCAATGAGACCAAACCTTAACTGGTTTTGAGGGTTTTCTGGTTTCCTGGGTCCTAGGTCACCCATGTTACCAGTAGACTATGTCAAGTTTTGCTTCCATGCTGCTCCATAGGCTATCAGTCGTTGACACTAAAGAATTGATGAATCAACTTGTGGCAGAAAAAGTAGCTATTTTGATTGCACCACATGATCAAAAATCTTAATTTCAATGGGTCTTTAGAGCCTATATATTTACTGTAGTGAACACCTACCTGCTCACACTGGATGGTGCTGCCAGAGCATTTAATTATTGCACATGGTTGCAGGTTGGGGGTGTAACACACCAAAGCCAAAGAAGATCGTGTCAGGCCTTCTGTAATCCTTGGCTTGTGTGTTTGGCATTGTCTGGCTATGGCACTTTAGAGAGACGTGACTTCCGTCTTTGTTGTCCAACACATCGTCTGCAAAAAACAGCACACGGTAGGTAACTACTAATTTCTAAAATCATATACAGTCTATACAAAAATACTGTAATTAACAACTACAGTACATTCTTTTTCTATTAAAACTAAACTATATAAATGGAAAGTACAGGACAGTAATTTAACAATATCTACGTGCAAATGAAGGAGGGAAGAGGCAGAGGTTAGATATCTAAATACACTGGTTTGTTGTCACCATAGACAATGTAGAAGGGTGTTTTGCCCGTAGAGCTATTAACTGACCCATTCTGAGCCTTTACTCACAGCTAGGACGAAAGTGTTGTCTACCAATCCTATTAAGAGGAAGGCGGATCATGCGTCAGAGATACCTCTTGACCTCAACCACACACTTTCCCAGCGTGATTACAGCAGCAAGAGTTGGACGATCGTACCAGCAGTGTTGAGGAGTACTCTCCATTACCAAAATGAGGAAATCACCAAAGCAACTGTTGAACTACCCAACGTGTACACGGGCACAGATGTTGTGTGTCTCCCGGAAACATGCAAGGTACAAGGGCTGTCATGTGAATCTACCCTGGTGGTTTGACCGACTTACTGATTCTAAATCGAACAGGCGTTCAGTGAATCTTAAAGAAAGGATGTTATTTGTGTGATTTTCTAGTATATCACAACAATGTCGAAGTACAGCCTACTAAATTCCCAATTCGAGGTATTGTTGCGAAATGCCAACAGACTTGACAGGCCAGGATAGGTCAAATAGCACCACATGTTAAGGTGATCGATCATCCCCAGGGCAAGGCACACCTTTTAGAGCTGCTTGCCGACTATAGAAATATAGTAGCAGTGCCAGGGGAAACGCTAGGTCAGACAGATTTAACATCCCATTATATAGCCTTAAAGGAGGGAACCAACCCTATTTACGTACCAGCTTATAGACTACCTCATAGCCAGCGAGTTGTAGTACAAGATATGGTACAGGGTATGTTAGATGAGAATGTTATTAGACACTCAAAATCTCCCTTTAATAGCCCATTATTCCTCATCCGAAAAAGGATGGTGGATGGCGCCGTTATAGATTTCAGGCGCGTCAATGATCAAACGATCCCTGATAGGTACCCTATGCCTATCTTGAGCGACATATTGCAATCCTTAGGCAAGGATAATGCGGTATTTAGCAACTTAGATTTGCTTAGTGGGTATTGGCAAATACCACTCGATGAGAAATCACGGCATTTAGCACGCCTCTAGGCCACTTTGAGTTTCTACGGATGCCATTTGCTCCCAGAAATGTCCCACTAACATTTCAAAGAATGATCAACACCCTGTTTGCTGGATTGATTGGTACCACAGTCTGCGCTTATTTGGATGATCTTATAGTAGTCATTAAGGACGTCGATTCCCATCTGATTAAACTGCGTGAAGTGTTGGACAAACTTTCCACAGCAGGCCTCAAAATAAAACTCTCGAAGTGTGAGTTTTTAAAATCCAGAATCCATATCCTTGGTCATGTAGTTGACAGTGAGGGCATACATACACTTAATGATAAGGTCAAGGCAGTATCTCAGTTCCCGCGTCCTACCTCAAATGATCATGTGCGTAGCTTTCTTGGCTTATCTGGCTATTATCGTTCCTTTATCAAGAACTATGCAACATTAGCATCGCCCCTAACAAGGTTGCTCAAAAAAGATGCAATGTTTATATGGGATGCTGAACACGAAGATAGTTTTACGGCATTGAAGATAGCGCTAACCAATGCCCCGGTTCTAGCATTCCCAGAATACACTCAACCTTTCACTCTCTGTACTGACGCTTCCGGAATTGGAGTCGGAGCAGTGCTCATGCAAGAGGATATGCGTAGGAAGTTTAGAGTGATAGCATTTGCAAGTCACAACCTAATTGATGCTGAAACACGTTATTCGGTGACGCATTTAGAAACGTTAGCCGTTGTGTGGGCACTTAAAGAAGTTCAAAGACATTATCTTTGGCTACAAGATAACGGTTTTTACTGATCATGCGGCAGTCACCGAGCTGTTCCATGGCAGAAACTTATCAGGCAGATTAGCACGCCGGTATCTGACAATTCAAGAGTTTGACCCCGAATTTAGGTATTTACCTGGGAGGGCGAATGTTGTCGCCGAAGCTGTCAAGAAATATAGCACCAGTCATGCCTGTATCAACATTCACTCTTTCGCAACTGGAAGATGAGCAACGACGCGACCCATATTGGTCAGCTGTTATTTTTGCTCTCAAATCGGGTGAGGATGTTAAACTCCCCAAGTTAATTCTTCCCTTTAGTCAGTTTGAATTACGATATAACATACTCCAAAAGGACGAGAAAATCTCCTGAGGGTAATGTGTCTCAAATAGTCGTACCTGACACGTTGTGCAAAGCAGTAATGACATTGTTCCATGATGTCCCACAGGCAGGTCATCAAGGTCGTGATAAATGCTTAGCGGATTTACGAAAGAAGTATTTCTGGAACACTATGAAGAAAGACATAGAATTACACATAGCTAATTGTTTGGCGTGTGCTCAACATAAAGGTTCAACAGGATCACCTGCCCCGATTCTACAATATCCTACACCAGACCGTCCGTTTGACACAGTCGCTATTGACTTGTTACAACTCCTAATGAGTCACCAGGGATCAGCCTACGTCTTAGTGTGTGTGGATCATTTTTCAAGGTTCGTGGTCTTGGTCCCACTAAAAAGCAAAACGGCCGAAGCAGTAGCCTATGCATTAGTGATGAATCTTATATGTCCATATACTACGCCTAAAGTTCTGTTCTCTGACAATGGCACAGAGTTCAAGAATCAGCTAGTAGCGCATATATGTGCACAATATGGTATTAAAGAAACTTTTGTGACAGCTTATCATCCACAGGCTAATGGCCTTGTTGAGAGAACCAATCGTAAAATCCTAGAAATACTGCGTCCAATTGTCAGTGGTTTTCAATACGCATGGGAGGATTGGTTACCGCAGGTTGCAGCGTCTATAAATGGGTCAGTTAATAGCTCTACGGGCAAAACACCCTACTACATTGTCTATGGTACAGATAAACGTCTGCCTTACGACATTCTTACAGATGCGCCATACCCAGTTTATAATACGGATGATTTCGCGGCAAAACAAATTCATGTCTTTACAGATATTCATGCCCAAGTACGATCACATCTAGCGGCGTCATGCGCCGAAATGATCATCAAACAAGCTAAACCTGTCGCATTAAACGTTGGGGACACTATTATGTCAAGAGAACCTGAAAGGAACTCCAAACTTTCGGCAAAATTTTCTGGTCCATTCCGCATAATCTCAAAAGAATCGGGCAACAAATTCAAAATTTGGAAGCCTAATGCACAGATTGCAGATGTCATGCACGCGGATTGTCTGAAGAAGACCCAGATAAATGTATTACCTCCAGTTGATGATGATGTGATTGATACATCCTTACAGATTGTCCAGAAGCAGTGTCCCAAATGACTATTGTATGAAACTTCGTTCTATGAGTAGACGTTAAATCGTTTGTAATTCCTTACAGAATGGCTTGGATCATCAGTGTGTTGCTTCTACTCTGTTGTGGCACCGTTGTGTTGACAGACATGTCCACATCAGTCCTCAAACCATGTGCACTTGTGGCACCTCTCGGATGCGTTCTCATAGTTGAGGACGTGGTGAACATCAAGTATGAACTACATCCACTACTCCAACTTCCACGTCAGATGGAAAACGTCGACGGCCAACTACAATCAGCATTGGACATCCTTCATGGTCTCAGCACAGCTTCGAAGAATTCGACAATAGTTTCACAAACTATAGACCTTCTGCACTTTCGTCTCCAGAACCTTCGCAAGTTTCTCGTCGATGTTGGGAAAAGTCGACCTGCGTCTCAAGCGGATCTTGCTCAAGAAGTGCATTCTCAGGCACGACAAAAAAGGGGTCTCTTTAATTTTGTGGGTCTCATCCAAAGCGCCTTGTTTGGCACGGCGACGGCCGATGATGTAGCTAAATTGGGGGACCAAATGAACGTTGTCGTTCAGGCTGTATCTCAACAGAATCCTGTTATTTCTCAAACCTTTCACGCAATTACTGCTCTAGAATCGAAGGTTAATGCAATCATAGTGGAGTCTAACCAAGTTTCGAGGATTGTTACTAGGTTACAGAAAGCAATCCCGACATTAGAATGGCTCCTTTATTTCACAGAATATTTGCATGCTGCGGAAATTTCAGTTCATAAAATTGTAACCTCTAAAAATGAACTAACAGACAGCAATGTAGATGCCGGGATAGGACGTGTGGACGCGAAGTTTGTGCCTGTGCAGACGCTTCTTGAAGCTTTAAAAATAGCCAAGTTGCAGTATCATTTAACTCCTATTTTCAATGACAATGAGGTTCAATATTATTACCCACTGTTGGAGTCAACCCTCAAGCACAATGCAATTCTGATCCACATTCCTATGCGAGGGCAACATGAGTCTAATGCATGGCATTTAGAACCCTTCCCCTGGTTTGTGAATGACACACTGTATACCCTGGATAGGCCTAAAGAACTTTTCTTCGTAGATGAAGAGTATTCTTTGTTATCAATAGAGGATTCTGAGGTACTGTCACGGTGTAAGTCGTCTTATCTACACCTACACGTATGTCCGGCCTACACGTTCGCGTTTATTCCTGCTGCAGAGGGAATATGTGAATTGGCAGTCATACAACCAAATGTACGCACAGCGCTAGCGCAATGCAGTTATAGGCCAGTTAGTCTAAAGACTGTGTTCCACGCTCACCTTCACAATGTGCAGTATTTATTCTTTCCAAATCTCACTACTGTCATTTTAAAATGCCATGATGGTGTTAAGCAGCTAGTTGTGAAAGGGCATTACAAGGCTCCTGATTACTGTGAAATCACTTGTAGTACATTATGGACCTTGCTTACTCATCAGCATTTTGCTTTAAATATAAAACTCAAGTCTGCTTTAATTCAACTTCCTGTAATGAATTTCACTATTAAGGATATTCAAATAG